GGGCAGCCAATGCATGTGAACACGCAGGATCAGACATGGACGCGCGGTTGATGAGGAAGGTAGTTCAGAGGCGCAGGCGGTCACGATATTGGTTGTGCGATATATATAGAGAGAGAGTGTGTGCAGGAAACAGGCAGCCACGAAATGTGTGGTATTGCCTTGCGTATGTGTTGTTCTTTCTCGTCGTCAGTTTCTTTCTCCTAGCGGCCGTGCGCAAGATGTCACGATGTAGGCATGTCGATGCGATGAAACAGTATACGCAATTTGCGGTGAAGTGTGGGCGCCGTTTTTTGCATTGAAACGCGCTTTCGCGTCACAAGGCATCGCGGCATGTATGCCCGCTTTGCCACCATACACGCATTCTGTGTGCGAGGAGTCATGGCAGGCCACACCAGCGATCATGTTGTCGATTCGTCATTTTCCCAGTTGTGCCTGAGCACGGAAGGCCAGCGCCAGGTAGGAGGAGAGCGCGTTGGGATACTCCAGGTCACCCGCAGGGGCGCAAAGGCCATCGCGCTTCGCGCACCGCGGCTTGGGTTGGAGAGGCGCCCCTGTCCATGGCGGCAGCGCGAGGTCGCGAAAGCAATCGCGCATCGCGGAGCGCTGCGCGAAGCTTGGTGCCCTAGGCTCCTCCTCCTCCTCTTCCTCCTCCCTCTCCTCCTCCTCCTCCTCCTCCTCCTCCTCCTCCTCCTCCTCCTCCTCCTCTCCTCCTCCTCCTCCTCCTCCTCCTCCTCCTCCCCCCTCCCCCCTCCCCCCTCCTCCCTCCTCCCTCCTCCCTCCTCCCTCCTCCCTCCTCCCTTCCCGCCACCACCACCACAACCACAATTCAGTCAACCCACACAGTAAGGATGAGTGGCTTTCCAGGGTCACCCTCGCATCCTTCCCCTTCGACCCATCCCTGGCCACCTTCGCTGGGCCTTTGCACCATTATCGCGCATCCTTACTATACAGTGGGGGCGCGCATCAAGAAGCCAGATGCTTTTCGTCAGGATATCCTGAGTTTCTTCGCTCCTCGCGCTGCGCGGTGACCTCCCGCAGCCGTTGAAGGAGCTGCTGCGTTCAGGGTGCTCCAGGTTTCTCCTCAGGTGCACCTCGCGCACGGGTTCTTAGGGTTAGGTTTCTTGCGAGGGTTTCTTGCGGTCTCGCCCGCACTGTATGGGTTGACTGCACTCCGCACCCTTAAGTGTATCCCGCCTCCCTCCACGCGGGTTGCCTCCCCCGCGGCACTCTGCGCGCGCTCCAGCTGCGGAGCCCTCCTCCGGCAGGGGAGCGGAGCGCGGCAGCGCATGATTCAAAACAGCCATTTGTTTCCTCCTCCTGCTCCTCCTCCTCCTCCTCCTTCTGCTCCTCCTCCTCCGCCGTTCTCTCACACACACACACCCTCGCTCTCTATGTTTTTGTCTCTCTCTCTCTCTCTCTCTGTCTGTATATATATATATATATATATATGAGACGTTTCAAACGATGGTCTTACCTTCGAGGATCGAAGGAGTTGCCATCTCTTCCTCGGTGGCTATCTCTCTCTCTCTCTCTCTCTCTTTCTCCCTTCTCTCTCTATCCATCCGAGGCGTTCCAACCGGGGCCTCTGCCTTCGAGGCTCGAAGAAGTGACCATCTCTTCCTCGGCGGAGGGCGGTGGAAGTAAAGCGGGGCCGCCTCCGCCAGCGGAAGCCGGCGGAAGGGCGGCGGAACGTTCACCACCCACCAAACTAGCCCAACCCAACCCGAAGGTCTCGATTTGCCCTCCATTTCCAGTTGGGGGGGGGTCGGGAAACATCGAGAAAACACCTATGGAATCCGTACCCCCCCACCCGAAAATTCGGGTCTTCGGGTTGGGTTGGGGTGGTCTGGTAGGTAGTCAAACGTTGCGAAAGTGAAAAGCGCGTCCCCAAGAGGTGTCAACATGTTCAGGCTCAGGGAATCCAGAATCCGCCACATGTAGATTCATAGGTGTGCATGTATAAGCGGATTATAGGTGTGCGTGTATATGCATACGCTTGTGCATACGCATGTTGCTACCTGTGTATAGGTGTACATGCGTTTATGAGTACATATAAACGTGGGTGTATATGTATACGTGTATATAGATGTGAATGTACATGTACATGTATTCGTGTGTATATATATAAGTTACGTATACGTATACGATGAATGTGTAGTGTGTGTGTGTATATGTGTACGGTCAAGTGGTTGCCGCATGTACTCCAAAAGCGCCACCCGGCGCTCGGTTTTTCGCGCTTCATTCGGCCCCACCAGTCCATCCAGCAAGGGTTCCAGGCGTCGTTTTGTTTTGGGAAGGGCAAAAGCATACAGTCCAGGACTGAAAGTGAAACATGTATATGTTCGCGGAATTGTCGAAGGGGGGGAGGGATGAGAAGGAGGAGGAGGAGGAGGAGGAGTGCAAACCGAAGAAGCATCAATGATGTTGGAGTAAACCCTCCCTCCAAGCTCCCTCTTCACAGGCCCCTACAACGGTTCATGTTTTACTGAGGGAACTGCCTCGTCGGAAGACAACTGCTTGAAGACCCTGAAGCATGCCAAAACATTGTTCTCGGGATTCCAACGCCACATATCAACCTGACTGTTGCGTCTTGACGATCCTGCATCGAGGCACAACGCCATTCCTGGGACTTGAACACCGCGAATCAACATAACTTGTGCACCCCCCATAAGCCCCAATCCGTCCAGAACACCATTTCTGGTACGGTGATCATGAAAACCCGTGAAGCTATTGCAATGTAAATTGTGAAGACGAGTGTGCGCGGCGCTGATGCGACAGTCACAGTTTGAAAAAGAACCGCCCTCAATCCGTGAAACACTTGCAAATGTTTAAGACGAGTGTGCGCGGCGCCAAAGCGAGAGCCAACTTCTCAAAACCACTCGCCCTCAATCCGCGAAACACTTGCAAATGTTTAAGACGAGTGTGCGCAGAGCTCAGACGAGAGCCACATTTTGAAAATCACACCCTTTCAATCCGTGACACACGTGGAAATGTTTAAGACGAGAGTGCGCGGCGCTGAGGCGAGAGCCACATTTTGAAAGCCATCCGCCCTCTATATCTGTGAAACTGTTGTCAAGTTTGAAGCTTCAGAGTCATGGATGGTGAGGAAGTCTCAGGCGAAACGCCCGGCCCGCCCGAAGACTTGGTTTCCGGGTGCGACAGGGAGGTTATTGATAAGGAGAAGGAGTGGAGGAGGAGGGAGGAGGTAGGAGGAGGATTATAATGCATTGCAGCGGGATGAAGGGTCGACAGACCGCATTCGACTTGCCTGATCGAGACCCTACCAGACACTCGGGCCGTCCCCGAGCCATACTTGGTCCGCCTGCTGCTACGGCCTCCTCGCACGAGCTATTCCCCGCACTGTAGCGTAGATGTGTCTCGCCCGATCCCCAAACACTTGTGCCCACCTTTGCTGCCAACTGTCACTGAAAACATTGCGTCCCAACTCTGCGAAGCCCCCCCCACTCCGATGCAAGGATGCGGGCCAGCAGGATGATGAGGAGGAGGAGGCATTAGACTTTCGCGTTGAGGTAAGTGTGTGATGTTGGGGTCGCGTCGAGTCTCCTGGAAGCCCAGCCTCTTGCTAATTAAGCCAAGCCGAGCCCCCTCGCTGGCGCCGCAGCAGGCGCATCAGCCTCGTGCTCGACAGGCCGCAATCAGAAGCTGGTGTCAGAACGTAGTGTAGCTATTTTCTGGCCCCAACCAGGGCAAAACTCGAAGACACGTTAGACGAGAGTTCGTTTAGTTTTCGTGAAGTGGTTGCCTAATTGGTGGTGGATGAATGAATGAGAAGGAGGAGGAGGACGAGCAGAAGGAAGAACTATTCGACGAAACACGTTCCCAATCAGTTTCGGGTGAACCCTAGGTGGGAGGAGTAGGAGAAGGACGAAGAGGACCAGGAGGAGCAGGAGGAAGAGGTGGTAGGAGGAGGATGGTAGAGAAAGAAGGCGACGACAATGCAAGAGTCAAAACCATGAAGGCCTTCGCAGATCTTTCGCTCTTGGAGCATCTTGTAATCAATTCCGCGCCGTCTTGGGGCCATTTGGCGAGCTTTCGGAGCTCTCTTACGGCCGTCTTGGGGGCCATCGAGCAACAAAGAAGTCGGAGAGTCGCATCCTGGGACTCTCGCCTCGAGCACTCCATGCGGGATGCGCCTCCCAGCGCTGGAGTTTGTCCTTCCCTCTCCCTCCCTCCTCCATCCCCCCAATCATCCCCTTCATGCCCCACCCTCTTCCCTCCTCGCCCCGCTTCTCCATCCTCCTCCTCCACGCCGCCCTCCTCCCTCCTGCCAGCTCCTCATCCTCGGGCCTCCGGCTCTCCTCGTCCTTCCCCGCGCGTGCCCCGTCCTTCCCCTCCCCCTCCCCCCGCTCCCCTCCCCGACCCCCCTCGGGGGTCCCCGGGGTCTCCCCGTAGAGGCTCCCGACTCCTCCGGAGGCCCGACGGAGGCCGCACACCTCCGAGACCCGTCCCCATCTTGATGGCGTGGACCATTCCAGCAGGGAGTTTGAGCGCGTCCAGGCACATGAAAAGCCAGGCCCACCCCACAGAGGGGAAGGCCGCTGCGAAGTCGAAAAGCATGAGGAACGGGTGCTCGGCGGAGGGGAGGAGCCCGGCGATGCGGCCGTAGGTATCGAGGTGAGACCCTCGAGGATCGCTGGCAGCACCTGACGCCCCCACCCCTCCCCAGTGCTCCTGGCCTCGGCGCCCCTCCCCTCGTGGTGCCCCGTCCTCCTCCCCTCCTCGGGCCTCCTCCTCGTCCTCGACCCCCGCCGCCCCCGTCCTCGGCCTCCTCCTCGTCCTCGCCTCCTCCTCGCCCTCCCCTCCTCCTCGCCCTCCCCCTCCGCGTCTCCCTGCTCGCCCTCGATCCTCCCCACCATCGCCCTCCTCCTCCTCCTCCTCCTCCTCGTCTTCTTCCTCCTCCTCCTCCTCCTCCTCCTCCTCGTCCTCGTCCTCGACCCTCCCCGATGCTCCGCGGCGGGCCTCCCCTGCGGGTGCCCCAGCTCGGCGACGACGCCTGGCTGCACCACCCCATCGCGCCCCCGCAGCCCGCGCGCTGCGGCGGCGGACCTCCCGACGCCCCCGGAAGGCCGCCGCCGCCGCCGACGACGACGTTGACGACGTTGACGACGTCGACGTGCGACGTGCGACGTTCGACGTACGATGTACGACGGCGACAACGCCGACGACGACGACGATGACATACGATGAACTACGACGTACAACCACGTACGGCGTACGACGACGTACGACGACGACGACGACGACGACCACCACAACGATCACGAGGACGACGACGACGACGCGGGCGGATCATCGGCCGCTGCCCGTCGACGCTTCCGCCGCCCGCTGCCGCGGGCGGCGCAATTGTACGACGTGCGTCGTCGTCGTCGTCGTACGTCGTCGTACGCCGTACGTCGTCGTACGTCGTATTTCATCGTACGTCGTCGTCGTCGGCGTCGTCGTACGTCGTACCTCATACGTCGTGCGTCGCACGTCGCACGTCGCCGTCGTCGTCGTACGTCGTCGTCGTCGTACGCCGTCGTCGTCGTACGTCGTCGTACGTGGTATTTCGTCTTACGTCGTCGTTGTCTTCGTGGTCATCGTCGCTGTCCTGGTCGTCTTCGTGGTCGTCGTGGTCGTCTTCGTCATACGTCGTCGTACATCGTCGTACATCGTAGTTCGTCGTACGTCGTCGTCGTACGTGATCGTCGTCATCGTCGTCGTGGTCGTCTTCGTCGTACGTCGTCGTACGTCGTCGTACGTCGTCGTACGTCGTACGTCGTCGAACGTCGTCTTCGTCATCGTCGTCGTACGTTGTACGTGGTCGTCGGCGTTGTCGTACATCGTCGTCGTCTCGCCGTCGTCGTCGTACGTCGTACCTTGTCGCCCGTCGTCGTCGTCGTACGCCCTACTTCGTCGTAGGTCGTTGTCGTCGTACTTTGTCGTACGTCGGCGTACGTCGTCGTACGTCGTCGTACTTCGTCGTACTTCGTCTACGTCGTCGTGGTCGTCGTCTTCGTGGTCGTCGTGGTCGTCGTCGTCGTCGTCCTGGTCGTGGTCGTATTCGTCGTACGTCGTCGTCGTCGTACGTCATCGTCATCGTCGTCGTACTTCGTCGTACGTCGTCGTACGTCGTCGTCGTCTCGTCGTCGTCGTACGTCTTATCTCGTCGTACGTCGTACATCGTCGTACGTCCTACTTCGTCGTACGTCGTCGTCGTCGTTGTCGTCGTCGCCAAATATCAGACGATTTGATTTGTTCGATCTGGCGTTCTTTCTCGATTCTGGCCTCTCAGGCCGGTTCTCGGGCCCTATGCGTGGTCGCGTCGTCCGTCGCCGCCGTCGTCGTCGTCGCCAGATGTCCGACGATCTGCTTTGTTCGATCTGGGCGTTTCTGTTCGGTTTCGGCTTCCGTGGCCCGCTCTCGGGCGCGTGACCACATCAATGGGTCCAGGATGAAAAAATTCAGGAGGAAAAGAAACACACAGACACAGTTAATCCTCGATTCCCCAGAAAATATGGGAACATATGGGAAGTGGGGGGGAAGACAGAAACCCAGAAAATATGGGAAAATATGGGGAATCCTGTTATTTGTGTGTATTTATTTGTGTGTCCTTGGGCCCCATTGGAAATTACCCCAGCAGAGCACCGTGAAGAGGCGGGGTCGAGGAGTAGGAGGTCGGCTGTATGGGGGCAGCGGTGAGCGCACAGCCATGTGCACCGCAGCGTGTCTGTTTTACTACAGACCGTGGCCGTCCAGACCGCCAGTCTAGCGGGCATTGAGCTCGGCATCGCTCGGATGTGTGCATGTTTCTCTCGGCGAGAACCATCGAGGACCATCCTCGACCAACGAGCAAAAAAAAACACGCACGAAACCGAAAGATGCACGGGAAATGGACTTCCGAGCGACGGCGAGTGAGGCGAGTGCACGGCTCCTGAGTACAGCGTGAGGAAGCCTCGGGCGAAGCGTCTGCCGGACAGGGCGATCTCGACCAGGCGGTCCCGGGGCTCCCTGTCCCCGTCGTGGGACTCTTCTTCGGTCTTTGTGACCTTCTGGTAGAACCCTCCAGCGGCATGTTCTTACAATCAGTGGCTAAAATATCGGCTTTGACGCGACGCGCAGCGAGGACAGATTGGCCTGGCCGAGACTATGGAGCAGTCGACGGAGGAGAAAGAGGAGAGGCAAGCGGACTATGACAAGATGGACGGCAACGGTTGCGACACGGGTCGTTTGCCACTACGGTCTGCAAAGATATTATTTCTTGACGAGTCTCATGTTCTGTACGACGACGACGTTGCAAACGAAGGCACGGAGAAGTGCACGACGAAGGTCGATCCGGATGATGCGGCGACTGCGTGGGAGCACAACGACACACGCACACACACACACACTCACTGGCGAGCTTAACTTTGGTGGTTGAGGTGACCAGGAGACGGCCCGCGAAAGGTATCGAGCAAACTTGAAAAGCACGGGACGCGAGACTTGGCGAATACGAGGGGGAACAGATGTACAGTCAAAACTCATGGTAAGGACGCACGGATGGTGATCGCTTGTTTATTAATTGTTTTGCCGATCGGCGCGGGCCCCCGCACCCCCCCCCCTCCCTTCTCCCCATGGAGTAGAGCTTGGCTGTTTTTCGGCGCCCGCTCCGAGCAGGCGGGGCCCCCACAGCAGGACGCACTGCTGCAAGCGGTCGCGCGAGTCAGAGCTCCAGAGCCAGACCCCCCCCCCTCTCCCTCCCTTCCGCCCCGCGTCGAGACGCCGAAGACAAAGAAAAACGTTCACATGTCCTTAGGGTACCCTTGCGTCCTCTCCTCTGCGGCCCCTCCTCCGCGGGCCTCGCCAGCCAGCCCTTGAGGGTGTGTTGGCAGTCCGCCGCCCACAGAGTGCCACCCTCCCCCGCCGCCCTCACCGCCCGTCCCCACTCCAGATTAGTCGGACCTGTCTCTCTACAGGAGGAATATTGAAAACTGATCAGAATAGCCTGGAAACGATGTTTAACTATGTTCGGCCATTTGGGAGTATTTTCGGCTATGCTTGATTTGGCTTCCAAAATCCGCCTGCAGGGGGACACGACCGTCGCCACTCTAGATTTCGACCGTGCCAGCGAGCCAGAGGAAGCAGCAGCGGAACACGCAGCAGTGCCCCGAGGCGCTGCTCCGAGCGGTGCGAGAGCGCAGAGGGCTCCTCCTCTTCCTCCTCCTCCTCCTCCTCCTCCTCCTCCTCCCAGCTTCGCCAAGCCCGACGTCCTCGCGATGCCGCTTTGGACGGATGTGGAGGTCCCCATCGGCATCGAGAACTACTTGGTCGCCACCCTCTGGAGAACGGCGTCTATCACTGTGACAGTGCAGAGACGCGCACATCGCGAACTTTGCGACACCGCCTACGACCAGCTCCCCATCACCACTGCACTGCAAGGCGTGTGGTGCAACGATTGCTGGGAGATCAAGACCGCCATCGTCCAGCGCTTCGAGGGTGTCACCAATTCCACCTTCTTCGCCGACTGCAAAGGATCACATCTCAAACGCCTGACACGGACTGCTGGGCCCCGACCCCGCGCACGAGCCGCCATGATCGCCAGCCACAAGCGCGCCGCCAGAGCAGGATAGCAAGCCATCCGTCAACGCCACGCCCCCCACCTATCTCCACAACCTGATCGCCACCAACATCGCAATCTTGCCAAGATCACGCCGCAGAAAGACTACATGAAGTCGCTGAACGAGCAACTCTACGTCGACACCATGCCTGACATCATCAAGCGCCGCCTGATCGCGTGGTACACTATACTAAATCCTGCTCGCCAACTTACACGCGAACCGCCATCTGGACCGCGACGTGAAGCTGAACGAGCCCAAGAGCGTCTTCTGAACAGGGCGCGCCCATGGGCCGCGCACTGGCTGCCTGACCTCCTGATGAACGACCGACGCATCAACAACCACGAGGACTGGATGCAGTGGTGCGTCACCTACTTGTACGAGTTGCTCGGAACCGACCTGTTCCAGCCGTTGTACACCACCGACATCCAGCGACACCGCATCGCCGTCGATATGTGCACTCAGGCGTGGGACGCCAGCGGCCCTGGACGCATTCTCCTGGAATGCCGCCTGACCCGCCCAGAAGCACAGAGCGAGCCGCCACGCAGCCGATCGCCACGCAGTCGTACCTCGGTGCTCAGTTACGAGGCCGCCCAACACCGTGCCCGACGCCGATGGATCGCCCACATCCTGCCCCTGCTGGAGCCCGACGCCGACCCTGACGACATTCACCACGACGACGACGACGACATGGGCGCCGAAGACCCACCTGCCGACGCCGACGCACAACGTGATCTCCTTCAAGTCCAGCAAGTTCCTGATGATCTCCCCGCTCGGTGGACGCGCCTCCGCAACCACCTCGCGACCCTGCCGCCCGCCAGGCTGTGGAGCGCCCTGAAGGTCCTCACAGGCGCGTGGACGACCTCGCACATAATGCACGTGCTCCCGACCAAGCGCCCATGCCATTCCGGATGCCCGCACGCCGACGACAACATCCAGCACTACCTCATATGCGAATGGATGTGGCACCAGCTGAGCTTACCGCGCGGCCAGCTGAGCACCAACATCATGACGACGCTCGGCCTTCCCGAGCTGACCGAGCCGTTCCATGGCGAGAACGGCATCCCCAACAGCATTGCCAGGCTCTCCGTGGCCACCAGGACGTACCACCTGACGAAGGACTACGGCATTTCGATGTCATACAACAAGCAGACGACTGCCGTTGCCGCCGCTCGCCGAGCCCTGAAGCTGCCCGCAGATCAGTCGGGCGGGGCTGGCGCGCCGTAGCGCGGCTCACAGACGGACGCGCCCTCTCAGGCGACGTTCGCTCCCCCTCCTCCTCTTCCTACTCCTCGTCGTCCTCCTCATTCCCTACTGTTCCCCCTCCTCCTCTTTCTCCTCCTCCTCCTCCTCCTCCTCCTCCTCCTCCTCCTCCTCCTCCTCTTCATTAGCATCTTCCTCGTCATCACCACCACCAGCACCATCACCACCGTCGCCACCACCACACCATCAGCATCAGCACCGTTGCCGTCATCACGTTCTCTCCGGCGCG